GTGACATTATAGTACAACAAAAATATGAATAATTATAAATTATGTACGAATTGTCGGGGTAAAACAAGAAAAATATGAATAATTATAAATTATGTACGAATTGTCGGGGTAAAAATGCAATTGAGACATTAATCTATGAATTTAAGTTTTATGTATTAGTATTTCTTGTTTTTCATTCCCATTCCCATAAAAATGAATACTATGATTCGCGTTTCGAAGAGGCATGAATACAGCTGGGTAAGTGATCTTCAAGGGCATCTCCCCGATCCATTCTTCCCAACGCCCTTATACAAATATTTAAATGAAAATTAAAGTTACTTATATACTAAAAACATAACATATAACTTGCTATAATCAATTAAACTACAATTTTACCACAAAAACTCCTTGTATTGAAAAATGTATACTAGCCAATATTCTTTTTAACAAAAATAGAGATACAATAAGGCGAGACGAAGCAAGACAGAGTACACCCTTAATATGGAAGGACAAGGAAAAAAATTGCTTAAACGAGGTGGAACAAGACATCAAAAAAATTACTAATTAGCGTTTGGTAATAGATTTTAAAATATTCTTGGCAAATTATTTGGGTGAAAATTTAGGTGAAATTTCACCACGTGTTTGGCCATACTATTTGGGAAGTATATTTCACTTTTTTAGAAAAAAATATGATTTATACCCGTAAGTTCAAAATATATCAAAACTAACTATAAGTTTGTAGTACAAATTAATTGGATCTTTATTACAACAATAACAAATAGTGCCCATGATACTAGAGCAATGTGGTGATTTGGCGTGAGTGCAACAAACATCATTTCATACATCGCGAAGTAGACGAAACACATGACTTTGTTATCTTGAGCCGATTGTTTATCATTGTCGTCAATGATCATATTATTATTTAACATTCACCGAATTTTTCATCACTACTTTGGAATTAACGTAAAAAATTATGTAATACAAAGTAAGCAACAACTATAGAGGATGTTTTGGTAAAAGATAAAAACTTGGGGTAAAATTTCAATTTTTAAAAGATCCCCAATAATGAAATTTGACCAAAATACTAAAAAAAACTAGTATTTGAAAATTTGGGATATTTACCAAAAATATTTGTTAAATAATGACAAAAATTTATGAACAAACACTATTTGTCAAATTTTCCCCAAATATTATTTGAAAAATCTATAACCAAACGACCCTTTACAATAGTCATGAATTTAAGCATAGTACTAAAATTATAGTTCATAATTTCATATAACTATACCAAATAGTAATGCAACACAATAATCCCAAATTAGAAAATTTGACAACAGAGATAATTTGTTTTTAAGTTATTACATCAAAAGTGTAAAAGCCAAGTCAAGATTATTGGACAAATTTGTTATTTTGTCTTCAAACTAAATGGATTTAAATTTAAATTATAGTCACAAAATTACATTTGCTATTGTTACAATCTTGAGTTTCCCTGCAATGGCATCTTAATTTTCTTCACTTTGTTGATGAATTCTATCACAATTTCTGTCCTTTCAGCATCTGAATGATAAACACATAAAATTATTAGAATTTAATTAATTACTAATTCTTAAAGAAAAGAAGAAGATTAATGTCATAGTGAATGACTACTCCTTCTCTATTTATTTACTTGTCAATTTTCTTTATTATCAAGAAAGGACAATATTATTTTCGTTATTATACCCTTAATATATTATACATTGAGTTAATATCTATAAAAAATGTAATAAGTAAATATGTTTAGGACCCTATCAATTAATTGAGGTAAAATATTAAACTTACTATATCAATAATTATTTCTTAATAGATGTGTCAAGTTGAAATTTAGACATAATACATAAATATGCTCTTTATCTTGATCTCATTTCAAATTTATGCCCTTCAACTTTGGGTGTGCACAAGTAGACACTCAACCTTGTATAAATAGACACACACATCCTATTTGACATTATGACAATTTGCATCCTACGTAGTGTCCTACGTCACTATAACAAAAATGATCATTAGCGGCAATTAATCTTAATTACCGCTAAATATATATTTTTAGTGGCAATTGACACTCATTGTATATGTCCATAAAGTCTTTAGCGACAATTGACACTCATTGTATATGTCCATAAAGCCTTTAGCGACATTGGTTCTAATAACACTTAAATAATGCCGGTAAAGACTTCAACACTCTTTATTAATGTCAATATTTAATGCCGCTAAAAGTTATTTTTGTTGTAGTGCATGTTTTATGTCACGTAGGACTCGTGTGTTTACTTATTCAACTTTATACAAGTTTGAATGTTTACTTGTGAAGAACCAAAGTTGAAAGACATAAATATAAAATAAGTTGAAGTTAAAAGGCACATTCATGTGTTATATCAAATTTAAATAGAGGCGGAAGAAGTTAAAAAGGCACACTTATATATTATGTATTATATCAAAAATATAACCATTAAAATTAATTATTATTAAATTCAATGTTATTATAAATTTTAATAGTAATACATAAAATATAATTTTTAATTCGTCATTAATAATTACTTCTAAAAATATATATTTAAGTATAATTAAATTATTACCTAAGTTTGGTACTTTGTGGCCCTCTGGATAATGAATCACAACAGGATTCACGAAGCACCCCGCAAGTTCTTCTTCATGTAGTAGATGAGGATCCTTTTCACCTATACAAACACATAAAAAATAGAAATAAATTAACTACTTAAATGTTTATCAAAATTTTTTTAATACGGATAAGGCACAAGTAGTTATAATCGAAATTTTGATGACACATCTTAACTAAATTAAGATCTTATTATCTCCATATTTTTTTTTTGTAATTTTGTACTTCTTTTAATTTACGTGACATGCTTTGTGACTCTAGGCAGTTAAGATGCGTGAGAGATATTTAAATGTCACATAAAGAAAAAAGATGCATAAAATTACAAAAAAATGAATTCTTCAAGGGGCAATATACCTTAATTGCTCGGAAAAAAATTATCCTCACTAGGTGTTTATACCAAGCCAATGCGAAATGCATTATTACGTGATTTAATAAAGTAAAATAAACTATAAATGTAAACATATGATATACATATATTGACTTGATGTAAATATCCGATACCGATAAATTTTACTAAGAGCATATTTTACTCTCTTTAAGAAAATAAGAACCAAAAAAATGCAATACGTATTTTGATTATATTTGTATTATAATTAAATGATTTAATTTTTTTTATTCTTTACAAACAAAATGATATCTCCTTTAATGAAGGTAATTACTTTAATTTCCCCCACCCACTTTGATGATGAAGAAGAAACACTAGTCATAACAATTTCATGAACGGGCGAAGATAAAGCTAAACAACTAATTAACTAAGATGAAGTCATAATATTTCTAATTATATATAGTCTAAGGGAGTGCATGAATATAGATATTTGACGATTCGATAATAGGTTAGAAAAATATTTAATTATTTTTTTATTTTAAACTATAATTGAAGAATACCGATCGAAGAAAAGAACGTCTGAGTGAATTGTAATAATGTTAGCACAATTTCAAACACAAAAATGATAATAAATAAAAAAATTTTTTAAACAGACTAATTAAAAATATTAAGATGTAATTTTTTAGTGGCCCAAAAGAGTACCTATGAAGTGCAAAGATGGACACTCAATTGGACATCCCAATTCAATTCCTCCAAATTTTCCCCCTGCTATTAACATCACAAATTTAATTTTTGGGACTTTGGTTAGAGCCACTCTATCCCTTTGCATCCCTGGCATTGATGCAGCTATAACTGCTCCCTAAACAAATATTAAAATCACATAAATATATATATATATATATATATATATATATATATATATATATATAT